TCACAAGGTAAATTTAAGTTTATTCCAATCAATTAGTCAAATGAAAGGACTTGTCATGTGCAAGCTCCCAACATGTCAGCTCAGTTTACGAGCTCGACACCAACTGACCACAGATTTCCTCCCATCTATATTCATGACAGCCTTTTATCATTACAAAAAACACAAAGACAGTCTTTGGCTTTTACTTTTATTAAATAACTGCACAACAGTAAAGATGGTGACAGTTTGTGCAGCAGGGCATCGTCTGTAGTCGGGGACTTTAGGCAGTCTCCTCCTTGGCAATGCGGTCCTTCTTGAGTGGTCCCTGTGGAAGACAGAAACAAGAGCGTCAGTCGTATGCCAGCACTTTAACAGTCCATGTGTTGGCTCAGAGCGGCCGGTGTTCCCAGAGAGTGAACAGGGAGTCAGCACAAAAAGGCACTGCTCCCCTGCCTCACTGGAGCTCACTGTGGCACTGGAATGGAACCCAGAGTTCATACTGAAGACTGAACCAGGTTACGAACAGTGCAGGGCAGCAACGGGGAAAACTAGTAACCAGTCTGGAACGTTTCTAAAGCGATTCAAGTTATACTTCAAGACAGTCAGACCTTTAATATGCATTAGGTCAGAGTATATTTGACAATCATCCATCTTATTTAGGTATGACAATATAAAGAATCAAATAGATTAACCAGTATTATTATTATTAACCACTTTCTTCAGAACAACTTTTGTGGCTTGCATTACTTTCGCAAGCAAAGTTGAAACTTTATTCCGCCCATGGCCATTCAGAGAAACAAAACCTCAAACCACAAAAATTAAGAAAATAAGGAATTTGAAAATATCGCTGAAAGCACAAAGTCTTACCATGAACGCCTTCTTTTCCTCCAGGGTCTGGAAGCGACCATGACCGAACTTGGACGTGGTGTCGATAAACTTGAGGTCAATCTTCTCCAAAGCACGGCGGCTGGTCTGCACCAGCAGAGACTAGAGGAAAAGAGAAAAAACAAAATCAGAACTTCAGTATTTATGAGAATACAAGTTCAATATAGATTTAATCCTCCAGCTAGAAGGTACGATCTGTTTCACAGCTTTCAAAAATGTTAACAGCTACATTCACACAATGTTGTCAGACTATATAACAGTCATACTTTGTCCAAATATGAAATTGCTGCTCTTTATCCTCACCTTACGCAGAGTCAGCACCCTCTTCTTGGTCCCCACAACACAGCCCTTCACCATGACAAAGTCATTGGTCACCTCTCCGTAATGGACAAAGCCACCCTGCAAGATTAAAAAAGAAAAAGAAAAAAGAAAAGAAAATGAGTCACATTTGCTTCCAGGTTAGAGTCCTGCAAAACGACAGAGTTTTAAAAGGTGTTCCTTACCAGGGGGTTGATGCTCTTGTTGGACAGATCGTACTCAGTGGAGGCGTTGTTCTTCACCACCTTTCCATCCTTGGTGTGGTAGCCCTGACCGATCTTGTAGATCTTCTTGTTGATCTCGGTACGGTGGTGGTAACCCTTCTGACCAGCACGGGCAACAGAGAAGGCCACACGGGCAGGATGCCAAGCACCAATACAGGCCACCTTACGCAGACCACGATGGGTCTTGCGGGGAAGTTTCTTTGTGTGCCAACGGCTGGTGACACCTATGAGACAACACATGTGGTAAGAGTTAAGACAGATTTAATCCAATCAACTAGTTTTCTGGAAAAAACTTGCCGTTTTAAGTTTAACAACACTGCACTGTTGACCTTACCCTTGTATCCGTGACCCTTGGTGACACCAATGACATCGATCATCTCGTCCTGGGTGAAAACATTGCTGACGGGCACAGCCTGCTCCAGCTTCTCACGAGCCCAGTCCACCTTATCAGCAATGGTGCCGCCGTTCAGCTGCACCTCCATCAGATGAGCCTTCTTCTGCCTCAGAGGCAGCAGACGCATCTGCAGAGAAACAGTTCAGGACAGAATATAAGCACAAATAACACAAGGTGGACTAAAAATTTTAGCTGGATAGTCTCAGAAGGAAGGCAGCATGGAAGATATCCTCATAGGTGTCGGGCGCCATGCCTGACGCAAGTTCCGTGGTCTCATCACCGACAGACATGCAGGAAACTAAACGATTACCTCAGATGTACTAACCTGTGTGTGGGCGATGATGCGGACGACCTGACAGTACTTCTTCATGGCAGCGAAGTCCTTCTCCAGCTGCTTCTTGCCCTCGTCATCCTGCCATTTCTTGCAGTACTTGGTAAAGGCCTTCTTCTTGGACTTGTACCTGAGAGCATGACGCAACAGAGTTTGGCACAGGTTCTTCATAACCCCGAAGGGCCAGCGGAAGAACACTGCACACGGCTGCTCGCCCACCCTCCGTGTGGATAAGGGGGCTGCATCAGCCAGCAAGGATTTTGGCTCATGGCACAGTTTCTAAGAAGCACTTTCCACTGGCCAGAGGAGCCCGGAGCTCATCAGGGCACACGGCACCTGAGCGGAGCTGCCACAGGGGCCACCGACATGTTAGACTCGCTCAGTGAAAATGCAGCACTTTATTTCCACTGGCAACTAACTGCTTCATTTTTATTTCTAATCAGGTCCAATTTCACATCATGAGACTCACCAGTTCTTGTAGAAGCGACGCTTGCACTCGTCACTGACGTGCTCGGCGAAGATGGTTCTCAGGGACCGCAGGCCACGTGGGGTGTTGACGTAACCCACAACCCCGACCACGATCATGGGAGGAGTCTCCACAATGGTCACAGCCTCAACCACTTCCTTCTTGTTCACCTCTGCATGAGGAAAAGACATTACATTTAATAAAACCACCTTTCAATTCTGAAAGCTGCACTTGGTTTACTCTCATGGTTTAGACTGCACTCAGTACTCGACATTCAGCAAGGGGGTATAAACCCATTCTGTCCGCCCGTCGAGAGTCTCATCACAGGCAGAACACAATATCACATAGATCCCTTTCACTGCAGATATTTATAAAAAAAAAAAGACTGAGAAGTGTTGTTTCCCTTATGAAGCCTAATTCCAGATTAAAATTGAGATTTTGTCCAAAAAAAACTTCATTCTTCACAACCAATTAAAGACATTTGGCCAAAAATAAACCACATGCTCTAAGCAAATTGTCCAAAATTAATAAATTGTGTACTCATGTACAATCTTCAAGCATGTGACCAAAACTTTGGCTTTTCAGCCAAATTACAGGCAGTTTACACAGTAGACTCAACTAAATTAAGCAAAACGTCAAGACATCTAACCACCATCATTTTATCTAGTACTGGTAACATCATGGGGCACTTAAACCTACATGCCCAGGTTTATTTATTTACCATTATTGTAAATCACTTAATATTCTTTCCTTTGCTGATTCAAAGCATGTCAATTGTTTCATATTGCACTTAAAACAACTGATTTCTTGCTACCTCATGGCTGTGTAGTTCCCATAGAGGTGCAGGATTTGATACAGTGGTTGTGTTGTAAAAATAAAAAAGGAGCCCATAGTGAGTACAAATGGAATGGGAGCAAACAATCCCAAAATTGTCTGAGCTGATAATGGCTCAAACGTCCAAGTGGGCATGAAGGCAGATCACGCATGCTTTAGAAACACGCTATTGTGTAATCCCACCTTGACTGCAGTGAATATGGATCTATAATCATCGATATTTAATACAATCCACTTTATGGTGAACAAGCCCTAGTCTCTTAATGACCGATTGTACTCACTTGAGCCAGGTCTGTCGACCTCACGGACGATGTGTGTCATGCCTGCCTTATAGCCCAGGAAGGCAGTCAGGTGTACGGGCTTGCTGGGGTCATCCTTGGGGAAGCTCTTGGCCTTACCGCGATGACGCCTGCTTCTCTTGCGGGGCAGGAAGCCCAGAGATCCGTGGCGCGGAGCCGAAAACTTACGGTGGGACTGTGGAGAGAACAAACAGTGAGCTGGGCCATGTCTTGACAGACCAAGATGTCCATGAGCTGTCTACCACGAGGTTAATTGTGAATATTAACTCTAGCGTTTGTACGGAATTAAAAAAAAAAAAAGCTAACGATGTTAGATTGCAGCCAGGGTCACCACGCTGTTAGCGGCGCTAGCTACCATACCACCCGGCCGGCTGTTACATATGACGCTTCAAAAAATGCAGCAAACCAGAGTTAATGTTAAAGCTTCATATTTATCACAACAGTGGATATATCTAACTAATGTTCTGCTTGTGATTTAGCATGCCAAGCGTTTTAAAACTTTTGCAGAGGCCTACTTATTGCAGCCATTTTGGAGCCTGAGTTGCCGGTATGGCTATGCATGCATCCTGAAACTGACATTTCTGACTAAAATACTACGAAACTCGACCTAATACTGTAACAAAAGTTTCCTTAAAAGCAGTCTGAGTGTCTTAAATAAGGAAATAAGCAGTGGATGCCTCAGATGAAAGACAGATTCATGCTCAGTTATAGCACTATGAAGGGCATGCTCACCATTTTGTCTCCAACCCGATTCAAAGAGGCTTACAGAGGGGCGAACTCTAAATATATATCAAAGCAAATATCGCGAGGTTATCCTCAGAGAAGACCCGCCCCCGAGATTTGACGCTGCAGCTATATTAAACTCAGCAGCCACTAGATGTCGCTGTTTCATAATATTAACACATTACAGCTTAAAAACACGTGTTAACCAGTAAATAGGCCTTATAACACATTGTGACAAAAATAAAACTTTCTTTTGTGTATTAATATGAGTCACCACTGACACTGAGTTACATTTCTGTAATTTTTCAAGTAATGCGGTACTGTTTACAAATTACTTCTCAATAGTTTTTACAAATACACACTCCAGCCATAAATTAATGAAGAAATCCCCGATGGATGGATGCCTAAATCCTTCTTTAATGTGCTTCCTCCAGTGTTCAAAAGAAGTCTGATCATAGCTAATGTACATGGAGAATGTTTTCAACAATGCTGGTCACTTACAATGCCATATTATGGGAAATAAATCACTCACTGCATAAAAAGCAAGCTGTCTTAACATTTTATTTTAACGTCATTCATAAAAAACACAAAGAACACACTTTCACATTAAGGCAGAAATGTTGAGTTTCATGTTCCAGTGTTTGTTGTGAATAAGAAATTCCAGCATCTCATCACCAGAATGCCACCAAGAGAAATTTTTTAAAATCATTTTGCTTTGCAGCAAAATCCATGTGATGGTTGGGTAGCCAGTTGCAGTGGTTTTCACTGAAAGTTCTATTTCATATTTTATAGCATAAAATTCATGCACAAATGAAAACTGGCTTCCATTTTCCATCAAGAAGTGTATCCTCAGTAACTAAGACCATGCATGTCATATGCTAGAGTACAGAGACATACATCAACAGCCATAAAGATCTGCAGTTGTTCTTCGCGGTTTCATTTCACAGCTCTTGTTTTGCAAATATAAAAATGCTATTAATGGTGGAATCAATCCAGCATACAAACCAGATGTTTTAGGCATCTACACAGCAGATAAACGTAAAATGGTCATGCTTTACTGCTACAGGAATGCAGGCTGATGCAGTAATGCCGATGCAAGGTGGAGCAGCGTATCTGGACTCTGCTGAATGAGGCTGGACACACCATGCAGTTTGTTGGGTGATGAAAAATGCAGGAAAAAGAAGATTTTCTTCAAACTCATGCTACAGTAACTTTGAAGATTCACTCTTTAGGAAGCTTTCAAGTTTCCTACATTGTCCTGCACCAGGTCTTGGTTGGATTGAATATCTGATGTTCACTCCCCAGGATGTTTCATTTGATGAGTACAGAATATAAGTATTTGGGACAAGCATTGCAAAAAAACTCTTTTAAAAGAACCATGTAAAAAAAAAAATGTACTTGAATCAGCACAGATAAAGTCTGTGGTCCCAGAGCATTCATCAGTATCCAGGCCTGTTGTTCAAGCTCCTAACTGTGTCCAAGCATGCAGGTGTGTCTCTAGTGTTTATTAGTTCAAGAAAACTAGTCCGTTGTCTTGAAAATGGGAGAGGCATCCCTGCAAAGAGTCTTCATCATCAGCCTGTTCCTCCGGCTTCTGTCTGAGGAGACTTTTTACGACCTGATGATAACGTCCGTGCATTCTGCCGCTGCTGACGAACAACCCGCGTCACATCGACACTTGATCAAGGTTCATCTTCTGGAAGAAGGTTTTTCCAAACTCATAGCTGCTTATCATAATAGCACATGCCGGCGCCACTTTGATCACCCGAGGCATGAAACCTGCAGATAATTAACATTTTCACTTTCAAGCAAAGCACAGATTGCATGTAATATTAGGTAATGTGGGACAGGAAAAGTATGTACCTGCAAAAAGGCCTCTGTAGCCCAAGTCAGCCCATATTTCCTTCATTATGTGCCATGTGGATGTGGTTTTGTTTAAGGACACTAGGAGGAATGACAGCAAGTTACAGTTCAGGACATGTTACACGCAAATATTTCGCACGGCAGAAGCGTCTACATCATGAATGTATGATCACAGACCTCCCATAGTATCCATCTCTCCCAGCTGAATCTGTCTCCGAGTCTTCACGACGTCAAACGGCAGCGTCAGGACTGCAGCAATCTAAACACCAGGGTAGACAGGAACAGTCACAGCCTGGACAAGACGCCTCAAACCCTCACATATTATCTGTATATCAGAGGAACATTACAATGTGAATCTGTTATCACTGGCCCTGACAATGCAATCGCTGGTCTCAGTTGACCTCTATATGACATAATAGAGTGGTATAAAGTGACAGATTAATGTGAGCATAGTTCATTGTAGTCAGTGAGACAAAGAAAAAGTTTCTTGTTTTCACTTGAGTTTAGGCAGAAACTAACTCCTTTATTTGATATTCTGAGGACAGTTACCAGGTATTCCATCATTTATTGTTATGAAGTGGTATTAAAGACTAATAAAAAGTACGGTTAGCTTATGCAACAGAGGGCAGGTGTGTGTGAGCAGAAGTGTTGAGTACTCACAGCTCCGGAGACGGCTCCTGCTGTGAAGCTGATGGAGAAGTTGGCCTGAGGCACTCGAGACTGTTCACATAAGTGGGCCTTCACCAGCTCGTAGTTGAACCAGTACAAAGCTGCAGGTACACACAATCAGTTTGTTAATGTGTTGCTGTGGTCTACATTACAGTCACATTTCAGTTTTGTCTTCAAAATTGACAATGCAGCATTGACACAGTGGTTGGGCAGCTGCACCACTGAGAAAGGAGCTAAGCGTTGTACTTCTCTCACAAGCTTCAACAAAAGACTGCAACACTAAGTCTGCCTCCCTCGAGAGGCTGTCTGAAAATGTACAGCTTTATCCCCATATTTAAAAATTAATACACCCCCTCTCTCTGTTACAAACTACATCTGACAGACCATAAACCGGCCCTGGAGGGAAAATGGTGAAAAGAGTGATGGAGACAAATCTATCTTTTCAGTATTAAACACTAAATTTAGCAATTTAATGGTAGATAAAAGTATCAAAACATTCACATAGACGTCCAACTGTGGGCTCAGTGTTTCAAACCGTTTTGAACAGTATGGTTACGATGCTTCCTGCAGACTGTCAGTGGTGATGACTACGCAACAAGGAAGGAGACATATTTTTTTTAAACATAAGGAAGACATTAAATAACAGCAAAAGTAAAATATGCTGCAGGGGTGGTTTGACAAGTTTATGTGGACGGTTGGTTACATTTTCCGCCGTAACTGCAACCAGCTTGAGGTAAGACGGCTGATTTTGGTTTGGTTTTCCTTCCACATATTGGCATATTGTATCTAATGGTGCTGCTCTCACCAGAAAACGGTACGTCTCTGAGCACGGTGGGCCCCCAGCCCCTCCACAGCGACAGCAGGCCGTCCTGGGCCACGGCCGACCGGATACACACCCGCAGCTCGCTGTAGGTCAGCCGACGGGACTGCATCTTGGTCCTGACCAGCTCCAGAGGGCTGATCACTGTCACAGCCCCCACTGCAACACAGACGCACATGTTTTCAAGTTAAATACCAATGTTAGACGCTGGGGTTCTATGTGGAATGGTCGTACACTTACATCTGGCTAGACCCCCAGCTACAAGAGGGACGTGGCTGCCCTGAAGACCCAGACCAAATCTCAGGAAGTCCCGCAGCTGGTCGTAACAGGTGAAGTAGATGACGGTGGCAGGAACAGCCATAACCCTGCACACACACATAGAAAAAGGTTTCTAATGAGTTTTTAGGTCAAACATTTGTAACTGTGTCACCAGAGTGCAGCTGTATCAGTATATGAGATATATCGTGCGTCTCTGTGTTTGTTCTATTAAACACCTGATAATCAGTGCTGTCAAATGCTGTATTCTTGGAACATTATACGGCTGCTAGTGGGTGAGAGAGTCAATCAAGATTAGATCGGTTGCAGGAAAAACAAAAAGTCAGAAGGAAGTGAAAACACTCAGTCACTCATGGACAGACTGTCTTGTTTACAAGGCTAATCATTACAGTTTGGGATAGTAATTACATACCAGGCAGAAAATCACAAAGAGTCACATGCACACTCAGAGTTTCCTCCACTTCTATCCTAGTACAAAGACAGGGCCTCTGAACACACAAGCAGTAGCGTTTTCATGTTCACCCCGAATGGCATTACACATAGAGGGCAGGCACAAACTTTATGGAAGTTTTGATAGTCCACCAAGCCACTGTTTACATCCAGCACTGCTCCCCGTAGACCACACATAGAAAAACTGTCTTATTTCACTCTGTTGCAACTTCAGTGCATTAAAACCTGTGGATTACAAATATTTAGTCTATTTAGAAGATTCTGTATAATACCCTTTTTTTCCTGCATATAGAAGAATCTGTGCATCATCAGCAGAATCTGTGCATCATCAGGTTTTTCTGCACCGAAACTAATCATGTGCAAAATCATTATTTTCCTCACTCGGTGGAATCTGTGAAATATCGAGACTTTCTACATACAGAAGAATCTGTACAACATCAACAGCACTTATGTACATTTCTTGTTTATTATATTATTTTTACTGATGTTCAATATATTTTTTGCATTTTGCTGCTGTGACACTGCAAACGTCCCTGCTGTGGAGTGAATGAAGGATTCTCTTTTCTTACCACATTTGCAAAAGTGTCTTTTTCTACAGGACAGGCTGATGGTAGCATTACGGTAGGATTTCTATAATAACTTACCGATGACAAGGCACTCACTGGCTGCACTTCGTCAACCTGAGTCTTCTATATGATCATTAACAAAATGTTCAGTGGTCTGTTTTTTTTGTTTTTGACACATACAGAATCATTACAGTTTTTGCCGGTGTTGCTGCAGCCCACCTGGTGTCTGCTCTTATAATAATTATATTCTAAAGGCTTGCTGTTTGCTGAAGTTTTCTATTCTTCTGTAATGTATCACAGAGTTAGCAATGTTAGCTGACTTATAACATTCTCTCAAATAATATTCTGATGCCCCCCCTTCTAAAAAATCTAAGCTTAGACAAATGAATAACTGTCATAAATCTGCAGCAACTTGTCGACTTAAGGCTCGAATGAATGACTACGGGTCCACTAGAAATCTTTGGCCAGTGCAGCCCTAGGACGTTGTTTATTTGTTCAACGTATTTTGTAATGATTAATTATTTGGTGAATTAATCTGCGAACATGTTGGTAAACTCGGTAGTACTGGATACAGGAAGGCATGACATGCAACAAAGCTCCAGCCAGTTGAGAGTGGAATGTGGATGTTTTGATTATGTGATTCTGATTATGTTTAACATTAGACTGAAGATGTGCATCCTGTGGGGACAGAGTGAAAATCCTCTGCAAAAGATTATATTCTGTTGGTCTGCTACAAAGAAGACACTGGTTCGGTGGGTCAAAATATGAGAAACATTACATTTACAGAGGAAATATTTTATCCTCCAATTATGAGTAAAACAATGCTAAAGTAGTGAATATCAAAACAAAACAGTAGTCAGGCCCTTACAGTTTTATTATCTCAGCCAATATATTTAAATTTTGACACATGAATTCTACAAGTACGATAAATATTTTCTAGATGACACTCACAGCGTTGGTGGTAGTCCACTCCACAAAGACCGGAGTCCTTCATGGCGACTGATTTTCACAAAGGCATCCTGTGGCACGAATAAACAAACAAACAACATCTTGTTTCATTTCGTGGGGAAAACACTGAAAGCAAAAGTGAAGTAGCTAATGTGCTGCTACTCACAAGAGTCCCGCTGAAATGTGTTGGTGTTTTGTACCAGCTGGTGCAACTGGTTCCATTCTGACAAACATAGATGTGATCCATCAGTCCATTGCAATACAGGAAACACTTCCCTGTGTGTGAGAGAGAGAGAGCAACCGAAGGTAAGAGGAAGAGAACGACCCAAAGCTTATCAGTATAGTCACAGGGTAATTTATCAAAAAATCAAAATTTAAAATCAACTGTGTCTCACAGTATTAACAGAAAGCAGCAAAAGTTTTTGTGTTGTCAAAACGGAGCCACACAAGCCGTCACAGGGTAGAGATATGTCATTAATAATGCAGGCGATGGCAATGACCGCAGAGCCGCTCAGAAGATAACATCAGGGCCGTCCTTGCTCATTGATTACTCTGTCTGTTTATTTAGAGCTGAACACTCACAAACCTTCAGAGAAACGCTAAAAAAAGCCTAATTTCACAAACAGCTCGACTACCAATTTTGGCCTATAAAAATATTTACCAGAGACAAACATCACAGGTGAGCTGGACCAAAAAGAAGCTGACTTTTGAGTTGTGAGGCATAGCAAGGGAACATACTGCAGAACTAAAACAGGACAGTTTGATCATGCTGTGAAATGAAAACATGCTTATCAAAGTTGACTGAAATCACGTGGATCTGTTTGTTATAGTTGCTGTCACTAGCAGGAGATGTTTGAGCATGTGGCCGCACACAGAAAGCCGTGTCCAACCAGCGTGTTTTCAAATCGCAGCCAAGTTAGCGTGCAGTGACGGCGGGACGGATACTCACACTTGGAGGGACGAGTGATACCGCCCCACGGAGCAGGTTCACAGGCTGAAGCTACAGAACGAAGCAAAGAAAGGACAGATAACAGACAGAGGACAGGTGCAGTGGGGTTAGTATTAGGAGCAAAGCATTCAGCCAAAAATGGCGCCTACAAGCAGCTGCATTCTGTCACTGAGACACAGGAAATTTTTCTGTTAATGTTCCTCACGACTTTATTCAGACATACCCCCCACAAAGTGCTGGAGAGACCCACAGCATGAGTGAATAACTGTCATTCACATGAGATTAGACAATACAGAGTGTTGCATAATGTACAATAAACCACTAAACTACTGGCAGCTTATTAAAGTTCAGTATTTTTCTGATTTCCTAAACTGTAAAACTGAAAGTTAGGACTCAATCTGAGGATGGCTGCAATTTAATAAAGTATTTACCTGCAGCTGATAAACTGTGACTCTGTGTGACATCTAACCTGTCTGAGGTGAAGAGAAGTTCACAGTGTAATGTGATGCATCCTGTCTTCATGTGGAAAACAAATTAATGAAGTTCCTGCCATTGCTCCATATGTAAATGCATGCAACTCCTTCTCTTTGGAGAAGCTTGTGCATCCTACTGCTGTGTCATGCTGCAGGTATTTATCAAACTCAGAGGAAGCAGTCCTAAACAGCTGGAAGCAACAAACAAACTGGGATTATGTTCATAATTGGTGAGTATCAATAATCTTTAAGTTGCTATGTGTCTGATTTCATCACAGCAAAGTTTTATTATTAAGGAAATTATATTTTGTTGCCTAATAGATTTGAAATTGTCAAGCAAAGTGAGTGAGAAAGGTGATTTGTACATTTGTTACACAAACTGTGTATTAGGTCCTCTTTGTGATGCTTTTGGATGAATATCGGTGCTAAAGTGTGGAAAAGGTCTTTCCCAACTGCATCACTCAACTCAGAATACCGTTGCTTGTGCACATCTATCCATTAAAGTGACAGTTCAGTTCAGACTTGTGTTGTGTTTTAAAGGGATACAAAAATGTTATAAGGTCCATCCTAGTAAGATTGCCGGCGCAACAATCACAACGAAGTGACCAGGGTGAGTATTCAGACATGTGACATGTTCAGGTGCCGTCAGAGTAACGGAATGAAGTGCATGTCTAGAAGAGGCTCCAGTGTTTTATTAGCTGAGCTAATGTGTGATTTTAAACCACAGAAGAACACAAACTTTTCCTACCTTGGTGGAGTGGTGTCTGCTGAGCCTGCAGCCTGATCTTCACAACGTCCAGCGGTGTGACTGTAAACACACCAGTGGAGTCAGGTATTTTAACAACACAAGAACTGTGCAACAATAACCCAAGTGGGTGCAAATGACAAGACATTGTGGAAAACTTTTGCTTTTACTGGTCTCTATTTCTATTATCTCACCAAATATAGATGTGAGGAGGGCTCCAGTGCCAGAGGCCAGCATCTGCTGCACTGGAGAGATCGCAACTACGGGGCGTCCCACCGTCCGCTCCCCCATCCTGCCCACCTGTCAGACCAAAGAAATAGCACTGAGAACACAATGTGCTGCATTTAACGTCACAGAGGTGTGTCTAACCCCGCTGCATGCTGTTAAAGCTGGCACGTCTATGTCTCCTTGTTATGTAAAACAATTAAGAAGGAGTGTTTGTGTCCCGTAAGATCAGCAACCCTACACTGAGTTTGTGGCCGGGTCAGTGTCCTGTTATGTCAGACTGCTCAGTGTGTGACGCCGCCTCGTAAAACACTCCAAATTGGCATCACTGCAGCACAAATATGCTAACAGTTTATACTTTAGTTCTTCAGAAGAAAGGAATTAAACTGCTGAAAACAAAAGCAAATTATTACTGAATTCCGATCAGACGCCTGTCTTTAATGTGAGCAGGGTGAGTCAAGGCGGAGTTGTCGATAGCTTATCTATAACATGCATGTCTCCAATCTCACCATACAGCCAGCGACACAAGTTTCTAAATGAGGGGGTGGAGATGCAGATAAATACACTACAAACAAATCCATCAGTTACACTCAAGTAGAGTTGTAGCAATCAATCAATTGGTTACCTGGTCTGTAAAATGTGGAAAAGTGTTTCCAAAAGCAAAAGATGACATCCTTAAATGTAATTTTTTGTCCGCAACCCAAAGATATTCAGTTTACTGTCATAGAGGAGAAGACATAACTGAAAATAGTGGCATTTAAAAGCTGAAATCAGAGAATTTTTTCCCTTTTTTTCTTCTTTAAAAAAAAAACAAAAAACAGTTACTCAATATAGTAGGCAATTAATTTATTACTTGACAACCAAAGCTGCAATGATTAACTGATGCCTTGATTAGTTAACGATATATTTACATAATCAATGGCTCAAATTGAGTTCAAATTTAAAATTCTAAAACCATGGCATTTGTCTTTTTTCTTCACAGATAACTTAGATTAAGTAATCAGTCATAAAGATGAAATTGTTGAAGCGCCACTTGTCAACTATTAAATTCATTGTCAGCCAGTCTGATAGTCAGTTAATCGTTTTGAGGTTGCTTTTTGTTGTTGTTGTTTTCAAAAGGAAAGAAGTAAAAATTTCTGATTCCAGCTTCCTAAATTCAAATATTTTCTCCTTTATAATAATAAAAAAACTAAATATCTTTGAATTGTGGATAAAACAAGACATTTGAAGACATCATTTTAGGTTTTATGAAACACTGATCTTCATTTCTCACAAATTTCTGACATTTTCTAGACCAAAAAAACAAAACAAAACAATTGAATAGGCGATTTTGAATAGCTGGTTTTGACTCAATCTGTTCACATAAAAGGTGCACTGTGAGGATTTTTTGAATATGTAACAGCAAACCTGTCTTCCAAACTGTCTGGTTGCCTCCTATTTCCCCTGTCTTGTCCTGATCCTGGAGTTTATTCCCGTTTAATGTGACAGTTATAGCCACTTGGCCCTCGTGGTTGCTCTGTACAATAAGCTGCTTTACCAAACAAAGTGCCCAGAACAGGCATGTGGCTATAAGGGTGTCCTCAAAAGACAAGGTCAACTGTCACCCAAATTACACAATGCTGCATAGAGATGTAACACGTTTCACTCTATGTCAACATGATACAAATTCTGACAGGACATATGTTAATAATAATAAAAAAAAATACACAGTAAACACCTTCTGGCTAGATAAGCTTCACTAAAAGATTCTCAGCTCAAAATGCAATGCATGAAATCCAATTTTGGTACACTCTGTCCTTTTCTAATTTAGCTGGTTAAATTAGCTTGAATCAACATTTCTACATCTTAAGCTCCGGTAAAGACAAGAAGGAACGGTTGGTTTGAAAGACAGTGAGTTAATGTATTAAATGCATGAACCCAGCCCTCTCTGAAATATATCATCTTTTAACTGCCTGCTGAGCGCAGGTTAGCTTGGTGGCTAGCCAGCTCGCTAGCTGCGTCCAGGAGCCGTTATCGTATATTTTAAAGACAACGAGCTAACGTTGCTCACCTCTACTTCAGCTGCCAGCCTCGTTGTGAAACGCAGGTGTCTTCACCCATGTCAGTTTGCAGCTAAGCCGTTCTGTCGTGTCTCAATTTATCCGGCCGCTCCATCCTGCATGATACGCCGTAAACATGTTTGAGGAGTCGGAGGGCAGGTTAGAGGTACAGGCTGCGCGCTGTTCCCAGATCTCACAAACATGCCCGCGCAGCGATGGGTGTATCTAAGCAACGGAAGAAGGCCGGTGCGCATGTTTTGGAGATCAGCGTTTTGGCTCCGCCCCCCCCCCCCTCTGCCGCCGTCGCTGCTGTGGCGCCGCCTGGTGGACGCGACAATGCGGTGCACTGCAGCTGCCGCATGTAAACAAGTTTGACCGGCAGTTAACTGCTGCTTTCACGAAAGAAACGAGCAACTTGACAGGAAAAAATAAATAAATAACTCGTATTAACCGCCTCTTATAATTAAAAAAGAATCCACCCTAACAGACCAGAAGTGTCGGTTTAAGGTACAGAAAGAAATTGGGAACCACCTCTTCCTTGACACCCTAGAGGAGGCGTGTTCAGACAGTGCGGCGGTCACTGTGTTATTAAGTGGTGACACACTTGTGAAACACCTGACAGCTCACAACAGCCCTTCAATCTTTTACTAAGGTAAGAGCAACATCTTCTTCCCTGACACTGTAATATTATACTTGCTTGGCAAACAAGTCCTGTTTTAAATGTAGAACCTCAACAAGGACATTTAACTTTATTTTGCAGCAGTTTAGTGTTTGTGCGGTTTAACAGTTATTCCCATGTGTAAAATGTCCACAATTCATCCGGAGCAGCTGAGATTTTTTAGACAAAAGGCGTTTATTTCTTGAAATGCAGCTTAAACGAAAGTGAAAGTGAGTTAATGCATTATTTATAAACCGGTTTGTCTTGCTTATTCATTGTTAAACAAAGAAAAATAAGAACAAACCTTTTAAGGAAGTACTATACTTTCAGGAAATTAACCAAAACAGTGTACAGTAGTGTCAGAATGTATGTGCTTTTGAGTTGTTCCAGTTATAGTTTAAAAAAAAAAAATTAAAAATGTTTTCAAATGACCAGGTAGATGGGGTTCGTTTTCCCAGACACCCACAAGTTAATGACAAAGATCATTCTGGCAGGTAGAAATGTCTCAGCATACTTATTACACTCTCTGTGACCTTTTTTAATCAAGAGTTTCTGCAGGATTCAGTGTTGGGTGCAGAAGGGGGATTCCTGATGCATGTGTTTCAGTTTCCGCCTATAACTGTGTGTGTGTGTCTGTGTGTGTTTCTCTTTGTTGCAGATGTACAGGTGGGTTGTGATCTGTTGGGCTCTCCTGGCCCTGGTTGGTGCTGATGAGTGTCCAGATGGAGGCAGATGTGAAGCCGGTCAAACCTGCTGCAATGACCCGACCAACGGATATGAATGCTGCCCATTTGAGCAGGTACATACAACCTGAATAATTTTGCTGAGCATTCATTTGTGACTACCTTAGGAAGCTGTCCTACTTTTGGTGTCAGTCATTTACTTCTGAGATAACGCACAGCTTCCATTTTATTGTCATCACACCAGAAATTGGCCATACATCCTAGTTTACCTCTGAAAATGTCTCACAACTATGAACAAATTGACAAAAACAATTTCATGTTGTATGAATTTATAACCTGTGGTTGTATACCATCCACCTGCTTGTTTCACCACATGACAGATCCCTAGATCATGTATGCTGTTTAATCGAAAATTTGCTTTTTTTTCTAAATTAAACTATTAAATGTGCTTGAATTTAAGCTACTTTTCAGTCATTTATTTAAATTAATTTCACTCAATACACATCTACAGCAAACAGTCTAATCCAGTTCAAGCTACAGATGATCCCAGCTAGCCTCAGCTAAAGCTACATTTACCTTACTCTCACCCCCCTAACTGTTTCCTGTAATTGAAATTCATCACTTTTGATTAACGAACAGGTTCATGATTTTGATCAATTTTGTTTCGCTTTCAACTAAATGAAATCATGGAGACTCATAAACATTAAAAGATACGAGCATTACCCTAACTGCCTTTAAGTGGAATTCACAATTTCATGTGTCAAATTGCTTTTACTTAAACTTTAGCCACTCATTTAAAGTTATGAAAGTGTAAATACATTTATTGTATTATTTATTCTTGGCAACTGTTATTATCAAAATAAAAATGCCAGATGGAAAGTTGAAAAAACACATTTTGTTTGCAGATTCAGGACTTTTTGTTGTAAAGTTACTCTAAAGGACAAAATTAAGTAGTTACATTCTAACCTATCCCAGTGCTAAACTCCAGCAAAGTCATATTGCTTCTGCTACAGTGGATTACTTGTGTCCTTATCCATAGCGTAGTTAAATGTACATATCAGATAACCATTCTGTTGTACTTTAAAAAAGAAATAAGTGAAACATTACAGTGGTGCTATTCATTGTCAATGGTATTTTACTACTTCACGAGCCAGATAAAAGCTCCAGCCCCATTTAGCGACTGTGATAGTCGAGTTAAAGCTTTGGTAGTCAAAGTGTTTCTACTACTGCTGTCTCCACAGGCTGAGTGCTGTGGAGATCACATGCACTGCTGTCCTGCAGACACAGTCTGTGAAACAGCCACGTCCAGCTGTGTGAACGCTACTGTGTCCATCCCCTGGGTGGAAAGAGCCTCCGCTGATCAACCCAGGCTCTCCAAAGTAAGAATAACACACAGCAGGTGTTGTCATTCATCAAAACAGATGAAATATTTAAATAGATTACCTGCAGTGGTAATAAACCATTCCCCACTCCCAGTCCTTCAGGATGATCAAGTCTTACATGGGGGAGGATGACGACAACATCTGTCCTGATCAGTCACAGTGCCCAGCTGAGTTTTCCTGTCTGAAGGCTTTGACAAAGTTTGGCTGCTGCCCACTAGCTCAGGTAATTGAACAGATAGGAAATTTTAAGAATTGACATGTAAGTTTTCATTCATGGTGCTAATATTAAGTCTGAAAGGGTTGCTGACCACACAGATCTTTGAGTTTTAGAGGGTTTTTTTTCCGGAGGGAATTGCTGTAAGGTCTTTCTATTTTACTGCTATTGTAAAAGCTGGAATTGTGTCAGCACTCAGACAACAGGTGACATTTTGTTGCTATCAATCAATCCACTGGATTGTTTTACAGCAAGTAAACCAGTTAATCTTGAGCTTGTCCTTCGTGTTAGTCTTTATTTATGAATGGACATTTTTGTATTGTTTTTCACCTGCTGACCACCTACAGGGAGTCTCCTGCTCGGATGGAAAACACTGCTGTCCTGAGGGCCACCAGTGCAGCGCTGACAGCCGCTCTTGCGTCAAAAAAGGTTTGAGTCTGACATTTATAATATTAAGCTCCATTATCATTGTGCCTGATTTATTTTTTAACTTTAATGTTCCTGTTTTGTCACCACAGACACTGTGACTACAGTTATGTGCAAGGATGGGCAGACTGAGTGTCCAGATGAAACCACCTGCTGTGAAGCTCCAGAGGGCAAGTGGGGATGCTGCCCGATGCCAAAGGTGCACAATGGATGATCTTTATTGTTTTATCATAGCCAGCAGTTCAACAAATGTTACTCCAGAACATGAGTGAGATTACAAGCGAGGAACAGTCAAATGATGTATTTGCATGTCCTGCTTCGATGTCCAGCTATCGTAACGTTTGCGGTGTTTTTTATCCTGATCTTATGTGACTTTATTCTCAGGCTGTGTGCTGCAGTGATAAGATACACTGCTGCCCTGAAGGAAGCACATGTGACGTCGAACACAAAAAATGTATTTCCTTATCTACTAATAAAGAGATGCCGATGTGGGCCAAGTTCCCCGGCAGGATGAGAGCAGAGTGGGAGAACCAGAAAGGTCAGACTTTTTTCTCGCACTAAAAACCCAAATAACTTCCTTGTTCCTGTGAATTCATATCTTTATCTCAGAATGTGTCTGTCACCTGATCCCTGCATGTTTTTGCTTGCAGTGGTTGAACAAGTGACTGCTGGAACAGTCAGTGAGGGTGGAGCAGAAACAAACCCTCAAGTCACCACAGCCAACACAGTTCCTCTTTCTGAGGCGGAAGTGTCTGCGTCAACTGTTGCTAAGGCAGCTGCAGGTGAGATTATAAGCATGCGTCAAATTATAAGGTCACCAAACAAAAATTGCGTTATGTATCATGAGGTTCACAAAATGAGACCAGATGTATTTGCTTTCAGGCATCACAAGGTTTTCAAGT